TTGGTCATAATTTAGATATATGGGTAACCGCAAGGATTTCCACTTTAGGGATTTTTTAGCTATTACAACAACAGTTCAGTATGTACATAAATGTTAAAAATTTTGTTTTATACTTTTATGACCGTTTTTTAGTAGATTTTAAAATTTATCTGCGCTTTGCAAAAATTTTTTTTCTGAAAAAAATGTGTTTGAAGGTATGCTTTAAAATTTATACATTTCTGTTTAAAGGGCAGATAAATTTTAAAACCTACTTCAGTAAACGGCCCTTAATATTTACGTTTTTCCTTAAAAAAAAAAAATAAATAAATTTTTACGATTTCTGTTTATCACTCAAAGATTTTATATACTCCAATCCTTTAAGTCTAATTGAACTGACTTTAAAAAGCAACTGTTTGATTAGCCTGTAGCTTTCCCCCATTTTGGCCGATTGAACTGAATTTTTTATAAATTAATAAACCAGCGCGTCTCGCCACAGCAATGCGTTGACCATCACCCACGTGATTGTGAACATCTTCGGAAAAATGACGGGAATTTAATTAAAAAAAAAAACACAAAAGTACCACAAATTGGATCCTCACCATTTGTTACATAAAGATCATCGCCAATGGTTTTCAAACGACTTCTACATTTCTTGGAACGATTGTGAATGCATTCCCAGTATACCTTGTCGCTATTTCTCCCGAAACGTTTTAAATTCGAGCGATATATAAAATCGTTTATCGCAAGTAAGGTTCCACCTTTCCGACTAATTATAAATAATTGTGGGCCGCAGTTTCGAACGTGCTGCATTACTGAAAATATATTTTAGAAATTTATATTTTAGTAAAGCTCTTAATAGATTTCTTTAGAGGCAAAAATTTTACTTTAGGTTTTAAATTACATATTGTTGCACAAGATTCAAATTTATATTTATTAGGTTTATTAAAAATTCTGTAACTGTTTATATGATGTTTTAAGGCAACTTTTTATACATTTTTTTGCATGAATGCATGTATATGGGTGATATAAGAATGTTTATTTAAATACTACAAAGAATAGAAGTGCTTCTCGTAAAATTTTATTTTCTCACGAAAATAGTCTGATAATCCCGATGCAGTAATTTTTGAAAGCTTTTGGGACTCGTAAACATCTTCCAAGTCTTCTATTCTTTGCGCTCCATTTATTGCTAACAAGGTACCTCTTAGTTTTCTAATCAACATTTTTGCAAATAAATATTCGTTAAAGGTATTGGTACAAAATTTCTTATAAGTATATAATTGTTGAAACATGAAGTTTTATATCAATATCGCTTCCTGCTAATTGTTGGTCAAAAAAAAATATGTCGAGGTTATTTTAAAATCTGATATTGTGGCTTAAGGCACTTTCAATTCAAGATTATTTACGAATCTGTAGTAGAAAACATATATGTAGTTATAAAAATAGGGTTCAATAAGTTTAAATTAATCATTTCTTTTTGCCCAAAAGAGCCTTCTGTAAGCGTCGTTTTATTTTCTCGCGAAAATCGTTCGTGTCTGATGAATCTGCAGTCTCCACTGTTGAAACCTCGTTTGTTTCCGACAAGAATTCTTGTGATTCATTCACCTGGGTAGAATCAGTTCCCTCTTCATAGGCAGCATTATGTTCTTGTTCCTTACTATCATCGTCATCGAACAGGCCTGCAGGTTCAAAGGTCATAGAGGTTACACTTTTGTCCGTTGCCTGCATGAAATGGACGTGCTCTCCATCCAATGGGAAAACGCGTTTCTGGTCAGTGACTACACGAACCTTGCATTCTTGCATATTTTCTTTAAAACAGCATTGGAAAATTGAATACCGCCCTCTTCGGAATGTAAATCTGAAATGATGCCCTTCGTATATGAGTTTCATGCCACCTTTAGTAGTTGAGGCGTATAATGCAGGTTCACCAGGTCCCTGCTGTACGGCGGCTAGTACTTTGTCCACAAGTCTTCTATCATCCCTTGGTTGTTTAGGTGGCCGTCCACGTTTGCCTTTACTCGTAGTCGATTGGTTTTCATTTCCCGGCGAAGTTTTACACACAGAATGCAATGCACCTGTCGCCATGGAACTGCCTGCAAATTTATAATAAGTAATGTTTGAAACCCATTATAACACGTTTTATAACTTTAAAAACTACTAATAATGAAATAAAACAACAAATATCACAATTGTGACAAAAATATAAATTTATTTATTTTTGGGAAGGATGGGAGAAATTTAGTTTGCGTCACGCGTCATTCTATTCGAAAGTGCAGGGCAGAGCTGCAGAACTGTCGATTGTACTATCGATAGTATCGATAGTTTTAATTTTGGAAAAAAAAGTTTGATTGGCGCATATTCATAGTCATATTTAGTACTCAACTAAGGCTATCTGCACACTTGTCGTCCAATCATAGTTGCGTTATCGTCTCGCCCTGAAATTTTGAGCCGAGCACATGCATTTCAAAGGAGACCTGCACACTTGTCGTTATCGGCTAGTTATCGGCAAATCGTAGAAGATGCAGAAACGGATAAGTACGGCACTGTCGTTTGCTAATCGTTGTGCACGCATTGTTTGTTTACATTTAATGGGGGAAAATTAGTGAAAAAGTTAATATTTGCATTAAAATTGTATAAAAATTAGTATTTTTTTGCATAAAATCTGTGGAAATTATTAAAAAGTGGATAATTGCATTAAAATTTAATAAATATGAGCGTTTTAACTATAAAATATAACGAAATTGTATTAAGTCTCTGTGTGCATACACAAAACACATTCCAGGAAAAGAAAAGAAGAGATATTACTGGAAAATTACGTCTAGAAATGTTGCAGCACAGTCTATATTTAAAAAATTGCAGGTTTTTGTAAATATTTCGCGAAAATATCACCCAAAAAAAACAGAAAATACCTGCTCCAAGTGAATTTTTAGACGCCAAATGAATTGAAATATCACGATAGTTTCGACTTTTCTGGCTAAGTACCAACTTAAATTTTAGTTTCGGCTGCAGCTGCAACTAAGTCGTAACTAGGAAGAAGTATTTTATCAAATTAAGGGAAAACAGACGAAATATGTAAAAATTAAGTTGGTAGAGGGTGATTTTAATAATATTGAATAAACTCCAATTAAAATTTACGAAGATCGATCCATTTTAATCGGAAGATGAAATTAAATGCGTATTACAATTCGAATAAAGCTACATCACAATTTTATAATTGGAATAATTTAGATAAATTTTCAAATAATAAGTAAGTTTCACGCTAGTTCTTTTAAAGTAAATTTGTGCATAGCATTTAGATATCTACTATTTGTATGTTCCACAGCATGCTTTCGATAAACATCGACTTCACATCACTGCGGTTGTTCTGGCTATTTCACACAATTAACAAGAAAATTATACCTTATTCTTTTGCATAATCATGCAATGATAATAAAAATTACATAAACGGATGATCAAACTTGATATTATTTAATAAAAATGTAATTTTTACAAAATATCGTAAAGAAAAATCGATACATTTTCACACTCGTTTTGCTATATCGTAAACTAAGTCGAAACTACTTAGTAGAAGTCTGAAATGCGACTATGAATAAAGGTAAATTTTAAGTTGGTACTTAAATTTAAGTTGCAACTTTGTTAGTTTCGACTAAAAGTGTGTTTGCATTGTTCAACTTTGCGTTCAACATTTGCGTTCAACTCAGCGCAGGGTTGCACGAAAAAAAAGTTGAATGGCTAAAAATATCAAAAAATGAAAAAATATCAAAATATTCGCCATAAAAAGGTGTTTGCATTGTTCAACTTTGCGTTCAACATTTGCGTTCAACTCAGCGCAGGGTTGCACGAAAAAAAAGTTGAATGGCTAAAAATATCAAAAAATGAAAAAATATCAAAATATTCGCCATAAAAAGGTGTTTGCATTGTTCAACTTTGCATTCAACTTTTGGTTGAATGGCCTTTCAACTAATCGCTTTCAACAAAGTTGGTCGCCAGCCAACATTTAGCCATTCAACTTTTTTTTCGTGCAACCCTGCGTTGAGTTGAACGCAATTGTTGAACGCAAAGTTGAATAATGCAAACAGTGCTTAAGTTGCTGGACTATGAATACGCGCCATTGTTTTTGGGCGATGGTCGATAGTTTCGATAGTACCGGTGCATTTAAATTTTGTGATAAGTGACGCTGTAAATTGAACTCACGAAAATATTTAAAATTTAACGCTTAAGATGTAATATTTATACTTATCTATGTGCAATATTTATAT